GGCTTTAGCCTAGAGGTGCACCGCTGTTCCAGCCGGGCGCCCACCCCCCACAGAAGCATGCACTCGATGCATCGAGCCCCGTCCGCATCATTCTTGGCTTGCCCGAGCGTTACGCGCGGCGACGTCCACGGATCTTCGCAATCGTTCGCGGTACGCTCCGACGGATTCCAGACGACAGATTAACGCTTTGTCTACCGCTCGTCGTCGACCACTCCCGAACAACCGATAGTCTCCCTTGTCGCGTAGATGTGTGTGCTTCTACTTGTGAGACTCTAGAATATTAACCCTTTGCACTCCGTTGTCGCCACTGCGGCGACATTGTAAGATAAGTTTATAACTTCGTTTATAGTCAAACAACTTTAAAATGTACGCGCGTTTTTTTAATGGCAAAGCAGGGTCTTAAATCTTTTACAGAGGCACAACTGATTCGGAGTTGCTGAAAGGTTATATTAAAAATTGTTCGGAGTGCAAAGGGTTAAAGTACAAAGCCTGGAGGATCTACCGAAATAGATACTGAATGCTTAAATAATAGGGAATAAGGAAATTATGTACTACTTCTTGCTACTTGAGTAGTTAAATCATTCGTCTGCAGCTTAGTATTACAAACATGGAAGTTCGAACTTGGCAGAGTGTTCGTCTGCAAAGGGATAAAATCAAAGTACAACGGAATCTTATGTCGTTTTGATTTATTTTGGTTTAGAGTTTAAGCGACTTGCGGTAGATAAAGTGTCGCAGCGACAATTGTTTCGGAGCGATCGAGACACGAAGTTCTTCCATCCTTTTCGAAATGAGAGAACTTTCTTTATCCTCCCGAACGACTGAAGAATATCCGATCAATTTTTATAAGTTTCGTTTCGAGAGAAAATAGGAGTTGTTGAAACACTGTTGCGATGTTTCCTCAGATTCGGAGAAACGCGAACGTTTCGATGCGAAACGGGTCAGGAGGAGATTGTTCGGAGCCTTTCTCCTCGCAAGTGAAACACCGCGGTTCGATTGGGGAATAAAATGACTTGCAAAGATACAGATCACTTCTAATAGTAATAGGAGTATCGTAAACATTTGGAAACTTCGCGCGGCGCGTAACGCTTCTGCCTCGATTTTACACCGAAGATCGTGGCCGATCTCCGAATTCGTTAACGACGCACGACCCCCACCGCCCCCGCTCTCGTGAAACGAAAGAATTTCTTTCGACGTTCGATAACGATCGTCGGTAGTTAAGAATGATCGAGTCATCGAGCGCAGATCTTTACGTTTTACCGGAAAACCATCCAGCCGCGGTTGTCGGGAGATCTACACAGTGGACACAGAGAGCATTTCCCATAGAGAAGTACACTAGCGTACTCAGAATGCAGGAGGCACACGTACAGATAAATGTAATATAGACATTACACGTATATATAGATATACAGATATGTATACACACACAGAAAGACAGAGAGACAGAGACAGAAATAGAGAGAAAGATAGAGAGAAACACAAGTGAAGGCAGAAGACAGTAGACTAGATCTTGTGTGTGTACATGTGAGACGACAGGTATACAGGTGTACTTGTGTGTCGATGTTAGCCACGCAACAGGTTGACAAAGGGCTCTAGCGTAGTTCGCGGGGATTCCATCGTTCTCCCTTTACCGCGAATGGTAACGGTCGACTCGACCATGGACCAAGACACGCGAAATAATGTCTGGATCGTTTGAAAATCGAATCTCGCGAATCCGGTGGCAAATGGAAGGCCGTCGTTTGTTTCTCTTTCCTTGCGAGAACACTGGGAAGTTCTCGGCGAAATTAACGCGTTCGAAACATTACTCCTATAACAGCTGCATTACCATTACAATTCTGAATAGTAACTCGAATCTGCCACATCTGCCTCGTTCCAAAGAGGACGTCGAAAGAGTTTCAGCTAGATTTTCGTTTGCGTCGCGACTAGATCCAGCTCCCTATTTTCTTCTTCTCGTCGCGATAAGATTGTGTATTTCCTATCTGGGTTCAGTGGCACTGGAAGACATTAGAAGAAGAAGGAAAAGAAGAAGAAGAGAACGCGACGGTAGTCGGTTTACACGGGCGCAAGGAAACACGAATAAACGTGCACGCTGGGACCGTCTCGCTCGAGGCTGTCCCGGACGTTCCTCTGAAAGGCGCTGAGCTGTGCCGAGGAGAGACAGACGGACGGACAGAGAGGAAACGAGTGAGGAAGGCAAGGGAGAAAGGAGGAGGCAGCCAGAGGCGATGAACCGAGGCGAAAAGATCGAGGGAACCTGGAGACCGGACGACGCGAGACTTTCTAGGTCGTCCCAGAAGCAAGACAGCTTTTCTTTAAGCACTGTGCAGGATAAATTAATTAAGCGTTGTACCCCTCGCGTCGCGGATCTTTGCCTTATAGCGCACGATCCTTTGTGTCATAGAAATAGGCCATGAAGTTGTAAGTTCGAGATCTCGGAGGTCCGAGATTCAACCTTAAAGCCTGAGCCTTCGAAGGTACGCTTCGACCTTAACTCCTTCGAGACGAATCGCTCGCCAAGTGTACAGTGGAGTACCTGATTAAAGAGATTAGGAATTTTTATTATCAATTAATAGAGAAACTAGCTTGCGTCACTAGTTAGTAAAGATTAACGGTGTGCAGAGATTGAAGGTCGTATTGCTGTCAAGCTAACTGAAATTTGTATTAAGTAAAATTCATAAAAAGCCTTGGTCTCGAATGAGTTAAGGAAGATTCAATTCAAAGTAAAAAAATTCATCGTTGTCCGTCCGAGAACGCGATGCGCTATAAAATTCGATCGAAGGACACGAGTATCCGTGGTTTACGATCGATTGATAATATGATTGACAAGCGAGAGAGAGAACTCGCAGAAATGTCTTCGCTGGAAGAGCGGAAGCTTCCCTGTCTCTGGCTGTTTCTTTCGAAGCGACGATCGACAGATGAATTCGACAGATCGAGGGATCTGTTCACCTAGAATAACGCTTTCTGTTTTCTGTAACTAATCATTTTCTTATTCTCTGCGACGCGATCGTTCAATTTCGACCGTTCGCCTTTCGGTTACTCCGAAAATGAATCTATTCAGTGGGGAAAGGCACAGAAGAGAGGTTCAGCTTTGCATTGTTCGAAAATGGGGAATAAATCGGCGAACGATCGTCGGGGAGTCCCGGCGATTCTCGAGCCGGGATCGAAAAGCCGCGCTGCTGATGGGACAACCGTTAGAAGAGAGACAGAGAAACACTCGAGGAAGGTGCACAGAGAAACAGGGAAACGTAGAGACAGCGTAGAACAGACAGACGTATATAGAAACAGATATACACAGAAGACGGACACACAAAACACAACGAACACGACAAAAAGCGTCAACAACTGTGTGCACGTACGTGTACTTGTCTGCGTCTGTGTGTGTGTGTGTGCCGTGTATGTACGATTCGAACGATTAATCGGTTTATGTTAACAGTAACCGGCTAGCATTAACGATTATCAGAATGAAGTTCGAGCGAATAATTCCGAAGAACTCGTCACACGAATGGGCAATCATTGTATCACAACCGTCAACGTAATGATTCTCAGTACCGTTTGTTTAAAGCTCGCTAAGAGCAGAGAACAATTAAAAACCGTGTACTCGTTGAAAGCTAACCGAATTGAAAAGAGAAGTAAACAAATCAACGGTCGGAAAGCGCGAACGTTTATCAAAATTACGTTGACTTTAACGTGTTGTTCCAATAGCAAACAAATTCCACAGAACGTACTCCCATTTTATTTACCAAGTTCCACGATTAACCTCTTATACTGAAAACGAATCCAGAGATTCGGCGAGTAACTTTTATCTATTTCACGTGAATAAGTTAATTTCTAATAATTTTGTATACAGTGACAGCTTTCAACACAATCTAGTATGTATAACGCAAGACTATCGATGCCTTTTTTAAAGAAAAAACACCACCGTAACACATCTTCCCAGCAGAAGAGGTTAACAATATTCCCCAATAAACATACTAATCACGTACCACTAGAAACCGCAGCCGAACAGACGCGGCGATTGCCATGGATAATCGTTAACACCAGCCGGCGATCATTAATATGAACCGAACGGATCGCCCGAACGTGAACGCACAACGATTCCAGCGGAACGAAAAGACTGACAGTCGTCTAGCAAGAAAGGCCCAGAGATAGAGAGACAGAGAGATAGAGAGAAAGAACACGGGCAGACAAGCATGCTACTTACTAGGTTGTACGGCGGTAGTAGCGGCTTGGTTTGACGCGTATCGACTATCGGAGGATGATTTGGATGGATCGGCGGCGGCGGCTGCGGCCGCAGCCGCAGCTGGTTCGTCGCGGGCCGTTTTTGCCTGAGCTTCGTTCGGACCTTGGCACCGGCTTATATCTTTAACACGGTCCGGCCTGGCCGCAGCGGCAGCGCTCGACGCAGGTGG